TTCATATACATGCATATATTTACATACACAAATATACATACACACATATATGTGTATACACACACATGCCAAGAATGAAGTAGTATTTCAGATTTTAATAGATGGAATCAGTTCTTTTAAAAAAGGCAGTCTGCCCTTCAGATAACTAAGTGATTTCCTAGAATGCACAGGGTGCAGCTTGGACTTGATCCCAACACATTATATCATCAGCAGCCTTGTGTTCTTGTTACCATGCCTTCCCCACTATAGCCGACTGTCCTTAGCACAAGGAGTCAAAATAAACCCTCCCATCATTAAGTTGTATTGGTTAAATGTTTTGTTCCAGCAGTGTATAAAGTCACTAATATGCCCACACATACATTCTTCCAATGTTTGAATTACACAGATTTTACATTTAAAGTATTTAATAGAAAACTGCATGTCTGCTTCAGAGGCAGGAAAAGAAAAACTAAAAATCAAAATAGGGTGATATTTGCAGCCTCTTGGCAACAGTAGCATTAGAGGAGAGATGTGCCAAGAAAGTCCCTTGCTGAACAGGATCTAATTTTACAGAGGGTCTGTGATTGAATGAGTATGTAAAAAGCTGTGGTACCACTAAACGTGTTTCCATCTGCAAGGCTGGATACCTTCCACACACTGATGGGCACTAACAGTCAAGTTTCCCATTTCCCAAACTGACTTAACTGAGGAACCCTTTCTCCATCTTTCGGAACTCTTTCTGGAGGATGTACTCAGGAATATGGGAATATTAATACGACAGCATCAAGTATCAGCCATGCCTGGTGTGCCCGATGTCATCACAGTCAATTCCATCTCTTGACTTTCACAACTTTACTAAAAGAAAGATTAGTTTCACCTGACTTTTGCATTTCCCTCCCTTTTATTAATCCTTTCTGTCTTTCATGTGATGCATCTCCATCCCATTCACTTCTCCATCCTACACATCCAGTCTGTGCCCTTGCAATCTCCCTGAAATTGTCACTTGACATTTTCAAATGAAGAATGGGACCTTCCATTGATCCAGTTATCCCAGAAAGACATGTTCAGATCTGATTCCGCAGAGACTGTATCAAATTCCTCGCATATGAACAACTGTGGCTGGTTATTTAGCATTTCCTATATGTGTGTCACATTTTTTGTACATGTGGTAACATTCCTATTACAATAATCAGCTCAGATCCTTGTGACTGGTAAATAATTCAGAGCATAGCTTAGTTCCTCACTGGGTTTTAGAAATGGTGTGTGAGCAGAGGCAAGGGGTATCCGGTTACCTGGAGCAATGCTTGTATCAATGTTACATACCGCACATTTATAATGTCAAAAACCTTCTTGGGGCTTTTCTTCCTCACATCTACCTTATTGAAGCTGCAACAGAGAGGGATTAATTTATACTAATTCCACACAACAAGCCAAAATCCATTTATCAGCAGTTTCCATCCCTTAGAGAGGCATACAAACACACCTTAATATTGGATAAATTAAGATACGTGGCTGCCGCTTTATTGAACAGTGATAGATCCTTTTATGTGCAGGCACAGATCAGCAAGCATAAACCAAACAAGGCACACTGGGGGCAGTGGCACTCATGTCCCCACGGCGGTAGGCGCTAAGCTGCTCCCCTGCCTCCCAGAAGTGGCTAAGGGATGCAGAGCTGGGAGGTGGAATGGATAGTACATTTTAGTCCTCAAAGCACAGACACCAATATTCTCCAAAGAATGTGATAATGCTGTCTTCAAGAGTGATCTGAGTGTGGATGGTGTAAGATTGAAAAACTCAGCCTGGAAAACAGGAAAGCAACAGGAGGTGGAGGCAGAGGTCAGCAAAATGGTGTCAGTTGTGTCTGTGTGTAAACACACATGTGAACATGTTTCCCTTTATGTGAGTAAGAACAGAGTTAAGGTAATTTCCTATTATTATTTCCATGTGTTTCAAATGTTATGTCAGGCATAGTGGCACACACCTTTGATCCCTGGGATCCTTTGATCCCAGAAAACAGACAGGCAGGCAGATCTCTGTGAGTTCAAGACCAGCCTGGTCTGCATAGTAAATTTCAGGACAACCAGGTCTATATGGATAGACCCTGTTTCAAAAGAAAAAAAAAATCAAACCTTTTCAGTTAATCTTTGTGGTTTTCTTAGCTGTACCTCACTTTTAGTATGTGGAATTTCACTTCACTCATGTTTTTGACTGTCCTCATCGTCTGTGGCTCCTCTGGAACTCCATTTGTTCATGCAAAATTAATGGTTTACCTTATATTACCTTTAAATTATGTTCTCGTGACTTTCATATGATAATGATATTGTGATAGCAAAGAATGATGGGATAAGGGAGGCAGAGCTCGTCAAAACAGTGCAGTGGTTTATTGAAGGGATTGCATGCAAATAAAGAGATAACAGGATTGGTTGTAAGAAGACAGTTGTTCTTATCATCTGTCTGTCTGTTGGTCTATCCATGTCCCATCTCTACCCATACATATCACCAAAGTTTAAAAGTGTATGACCTAGGATCCTAAGTGTTCCTTTAAAGCATAGTATTTTAACTCACGTCACTTGTGAATTCTTTGTGTGTGTGTGTGTGTGTGACCTATGACCGTTGCCTTAAACCCTTTCCTGAGAAATGCTGTTTTTAATTTCTTGGTCTTTTACACCAGGTGGGCCGTGCAAAACTGTATTCGTGTGAATTTGAATGACCCAGACTCCAGTCTTCTTTCTTCCATTAAGCAGTTGAAGCCCTATAGAGTGGCATCCAGCACTTAGCACAGGAACTGCTTTTGTTTGTGTCATGTGGTTAATAGCACCTGCCTTCCACCTGTTAAAAGCAGTGGAGATAATATCCCTAACAATGGAAAGAGTTCTTTTCTCCTGTGCTATTCTGTCAATAGCAGCATGCAATCAGGTGTGTTTCTGGGCTTTTTTGATGGTACCAAGATCTCCATTTCTTAGTTTAAATGTATCACCTGGGTTTGGGTGTGCCATTGCCCTGAGGCTGCCCAATCAGCTCTCACACAGGGACAGGCTCTGACTGCACAAAGCTGCTAGACTGACAGCAGAGACAGAACAAGAGGGTTCTTTATAGTCAGTGCCTGCCAAGAGCAGATCCTGATCTTCCTGCATAAATTAAGACCATTTCCTGAGAAAGACACTTAGACTTTTACTTTGTTTTATGGTCAGGTGAATTGTGCTTTCTAGTAATAGCTGAAATATAATCTTGCAAAACTCAGACAGAGCAGATGCAACCACAGGTATTGCCTGACACCGTTAATATGGTAGTCATTTACTCCTGAACTTTCCTGCTTGGATGACCAGAGAGCATCACCCTTTCGGCTCTCAATAGCGAAAAGTCATAGGAAGGGTACTTAAAGGTCACCTGCATTTCTGGGTGTTGAGCTTTGCTTAAATTGATGGAAGATAAAGGTCAGTGTCCATGCTTCTGCAAGGTACAGGTGGATTGTTTTCGGGCTTGAACGATACCACACTTGGCAATTGTCAGTTCTTGACAAGGTAAAAATATAATTGCAAACAGTCATTACAAGTGCAAGAGGCTTGACCTTGTGCATGAGATTTGGAGCTGGGCAGAGATGGTCAGTGTCCATGCCTCTGCAAGGTACAGGTGGATTGTTTTCGGGCTTGAACGATACCACACTTGGCAATTATCAGTTCTTGACACAGGAAAAATTAATTGCAGTCATTACAAGTGCAAGAGGCTTGACCTTACGGATGAGATTTGGAGTTGGGGAGAGATGTTTTGTCATAGAACGGTCATGTAAAGAAAACTCAGAGACAGAACCTTTGCTCTTTGCATACAGGTACATCAGCTTAGTCTGTGAGGAGGTTCATAGACTTGAGGTGCTAGAGTTCCTGGGGTGGGTTGCCACAAATTTCAGATATTGTAGGGCTCAGACACTACTCTCCCCCACAGTCAGGGTATTGGCCTCTTCCCAAGCATTCACTTGACCATGAGCTTCTGCGCCTCCTCAAAAAATGTTAGCATGCCCATTAGCTTTCTAATTCTTTGTCTTGGAATTGCCAAGGTAGAGATATGACTAATTCATATTACACACTCTCTCACACACACACACACACAATCTCTCTCTCTCTCTCTCTCTCTCTCTCTCTCTCTCTCTCTCTCTCTCACACACACACACACACACACACACACACTTCCTGTTTATGGTTGACTGCTTTTCTACTCCGCTTAGTGGGGAAAGCTAAGGTACAATGCATACAATGCACAAGAAATAGTAATAATAACAACAACAACAACAACAATACAAATGCAGACCATTCCTGACTTAGAGTATTCACCTTACCCTGTTTCTACCTGATAATTTTGTAGAGCTGTACCCCTACAGCCCCTCTGCTGTACCCCTCTGTACAGCTGTACCCCTCTGCTGCTCCTTTAGGGCACTGCTCAGTAAATTACATAAGCATTGAATATTTTATTATAAAATAATTTTTTAGATGATTTTACTCAAGCAAGTGTAAGCTCAGGTAAGGGCTCCAACCACAGCAAAGGTGGGGCTTCATTGGGCTCTATGGAGTAGGGTCCATGCTTGATTGTTTCATCTTAAAATAGCTTTTTGCCAAGATGTAAACTCATCAGTAACATGTGTTGCTTAATTAATGATAATGACAGCAGCAAGGCTAGAATGAAAGGAAATAGTTAAAGAGATTGGTAAGTAGACTTAACAAAGAAATCCTCACAGCTATCCAGTGAGGTATGCACTATTATTTTTTAGCTACATTAGACAAGTCCATATAGTAGGCAATTGGTTGAGTAGAGAGCTAGGACCTCTTCTGGTTTCCCTTGATCCACTGTAAGGCTTGGACAAACCATCGGGAGCATGCTCAAGATGAACACACACTCGGATGTATGCTTACTGTGGGCCATGTGTTGCGCCTGAATATCCCCTGTGTTTTCCTAGGATTCAGCAAGCTTGTGTGTGAATGACATGGACCTGCTCAAGACTGCTAATGTTTGTACTTTGCATATTCCCCCAGCTCCACTGGTGGACCTCACTCCAACCCACAGTGGATCTGCCATGCTGATGTTGCTCTCGGTGGTGTTTGTGGGGCTGGCAGTATTCGTCATCTACAAGTTTAAAAGGTGTGTGTTCTCCCCTCCAACCCGCCCTGTCCTCCTGTCCCCCCACCCCGCCCCCAACCTCTTCCCTCTTTCTGACAGGTTCAGAAGCAGTAAATCACACGTCCAGAACACAGCAGTGATGCTTTCCGTTAATGTTTTAGGAAGATCCCGGGGATTAATGTTTATGCCCAGATGCAAAACGAGAAAGAGCAAGAGCTGATCAGTCCAGTCAGTCACACTGAGAGCAGGCCCAGTGTCCCTCACCCTGACCTCAGGAGGCCTGGCCAGCCTGTAGATGAGAAGGTGGAATCGCAGCTCCTAGGTAAATGAAGCCCAGTGGCAGTCAGCTGCCCAGGCTGAGTAGTCAACACTAACCCGCCCTCTAGCCCTCTAACCCCTTGTTGGCTTCACATAACCACTGTTTTCTGCTCTAACCCTCACGAGAGCTAAAATGTCCCTTTCTTGCTCTCGTTTCTAGCTTTTCTTTTACTCTCATTAAAATTTCTCCCCTTTAAGAAAACATCTGTTTATAAACCACTAAGCTTCAAGGTTTATGAGCAATGAGCATCCCAGGCTTTTCAATGCTACTATTTAAAGAGGAAGAGCTTCAGGATCTGGGGGAGGTAGGCAGAAAGGCAGGCGGGAACCAGGGTCTGAACAAACTCAGCAGTCCCTATTACTGACATCTCCTCCAAGAGTGACCAAATTGCTTTAGAATCCCAGAAGAACCCAACATAAGATTAGCTAACCTGACCAGTAGGAAGTGGTTTCTTTTGTTGTTTCCTTCTGTTTTGGTCCAGCGGCTGCCTTGAGAATATTGCTCTGGAAATGTGGAAACTGATAACCAGGAAGGGCATGCAGTTTGTAAAATACTTAGAAATTGAGGATGCTAAGAGGGCAATTGGAGAATTAGGCTAGAGAGGACCCCACAGATGCCTTCTCCGTGTTGACTTCTCGTTTTGGCATTAGATGGCAATGCAGCTTTGTTTACCTGGGGTCTGAGCATGGGAGTCTGAGACCTCGCTGAAGGAAGCCTGAAGCCCAGTTGCTAAATCTTATGTATTTCAGAAGATGTTTTTGAGGCACTAAGACAAAGTCATGGAGCCACCTTCCTTGATCCCCTTTCCCTCCTTGGGTCCTGCTGTATATGGCTGACTAAGATGGGGAAATTTTACGATAGCTCATGCTCCATGCTAAAGTCGTGATGCCATATCACCCAGAATGCCTTTACAGAAAAGAGTTTTAATCTCTTACTTGGAAAAAAATGAGTTTAAGTGGATATGACAAAGGTCTGTGGTTGTATTAGATGGCATTTAAATACAATTGAGTAGCACTAGCCAGAGATAATAGTAACAATGGCAGCCACACCTGGTGTCCAATTTTCACAGTTCATTTCTTCCATTTGGTGGAGCCAGGGTGATGAAAAGACTCGATAGCTTTGGGTTAAAAAGTATAGAAGCTTTTCTGTCTTACTGTCCAGTGTAACACCAAGTACTCTGCCTATTCACTTCTGGAGCATCTCAAGCACTGCATTATTCAAGGGGTCATTTGGTTGTCTGTCTCCCTTTCTGTAGTGTGAATCACAATGGCTGTTTATTAAAGTAGCAATTAATCTCTACTTTGCTAGCAACATCTCACAGCATGTTGCAATCTCTGACACCTTTCCATTTCCAGTGTCATTAAATGAGTAAGTGTTACACGTTTTCTCTTAGGAGAGTAGCTTTACCCTCCCCTCCCTCCCCTTCTTCTCAACCTGGTGACTCATCTCTCCGATTGCAAAGACCAAGACAAGCCACTCCACCTTCATCGCCAAAGCGGGGATCTGCTGGGGCACAATTTGCAATTTAAGGAAAACCCCCAAAGACTACAGGAGACCTGCTGATCAGAAAAGAATTTCGCTCTTGTCAAGTACATCATCCTTCATGACCACTAACTTAATGTTTTTTTTTTCTTCTTCTTCTTCTGTTGTTCTGTTTCCTATTTTGCCAGGAAGTATTTCCATAGTTGCTGAGAATCAAAGCACAAAAGAAATCCCTACCTATGTAAATGTTTGAATGGAGGACGCCAGTAAAACAAACAAACAAAAAATAAATTAAAAACAATCAAAATCTAATCTAACAAACACTCACTGCATCGGGACTTTTAAATTCTTCAGACACAGACAACAAGGGTTTTTAGCTTTAAGCCTGTGCATGTGGACAATACCTTGAGAACACGTTTGGAGGGGCAGTGTACAGGTGCTCTATTTTAATGGAAAAAAAAAAAAAACACTCCCCTCCCTCTCTCTTCTCTTTTTCTGATCGGTCGTGTTTGTAGAAAATTCAAACATATATAAGCCAAGGAAATCTGCATGTATTTTTGGAAATATTCTTGGCTCTAGATTTAACAGCTATTTTAGCACTACAGGCTGATGGTGGGTTAGCCATCCCTAGCCTTTTCACAAGACACAAAGAGTTTGAAGCCCTGAGCTGCTTCTCTGTTTTACTTATTGTTACTTTTCCTTTCTAAGTTAGTGTTAGTGGCTCTGTGGGTTAGCAGTGACCACAGGCTGATTTCTCTCCATTGTCTGTAGCCACAGAGACAAAGATGTTAGTTAAAGGTTCATATCCATGTAGGCAGATTCAATAGAACAGAAGGGAGGCTGGCGAGCAAAGCATATCAGAAATGGACCTTTGTTACCTGCTCAACTTTTCTTCTTGCCCCAAGTAATGTAAAAACAAAGACAAAAAAAATGGGATTTTTTTTCCAGTAAATACTTGTTATTCCACCTTCCCATTTGTTGGTTATCTATGTGTGGACATGTTTATCTTGATGTCTTTCAATTTTTCCTATTTACCCCCCCCAGTATTTCAACTGCTCTCACATTTTCTTCTCAAAAGTGTTGCTAGATTTTGGACATTAAACCTGATATTTCCTAAAACTGGCCTAGCCTATGCCAACCCTGACTCCATCTCTCACAAGACTTCTGTTATCCATTTTCTACACTCGCACGCATGCTTTGCTGCACGCTAGCCAGGCTGCATCGTGCCCAGCTGGCTCCAATTACATTTCCCCTTTGTCTCTTCAGAACCTCCTTTTGCCAAATACCTCTGTCTTTCCCACCTGGAAACATATACTGTGTGTGAAAGAGTTGAGACATTCAAAGCAACCCAAATTTGGCCATATACTTTGGAAAGTAAAGCATATAGATGAATAGTGGTGGTTTTGCATATTAACAAAAATCCTTTGTGGTCTGAATCTAGAAGAACCTTATGATACATATTTTGAATGTGTGATTATACTGCAGGGTAATAGGTTCTATGATAGTTGCTGTTACCTGTTATTTCCTCTCTACAATAACCATGTTTGTAAAATAAAAAAATGATTTTTAACCAGAAGCAGAAGCAGGTTAATGGACTTAATATAAAAAAATGTTGAAAAAAAAACCTACAAAAATCAGTCTTCTCTTATATTTGGATGAGACTTTGACCATTTAAGGTGATTTCACTGATTTCCTGTGTATACTCCAATCTTCGGGTGTCATGGTATTTATAAGGAAAAAAATAAATTAATATAAAGGAAGAATTGCTGCTTACAGAAAAGTAAGGCTCAAAACCCCAAGAGCCTCAAAGTAAAAGAAAATCAGTTTTCTCAGAGGAATTATGAAAGGAGCAGAGCCTGTGCCCCTACCGAAGTCCTTCTGTATGACTGAAGTCTCTTTACTCCTCTGGACTGGAAAAAGCCCACTCTCAAGTTAGGGTGAGAGATGTTCTGGTAAACCACTTCCAGAATCTTGTCTCCTTGACTGGGTCCCAAAGCCAACAACAGGGTATCATCAAGGGCCTTTGTGTATCCCAGTGATCAGTATGGCGCCTGCCCTTGTGTGGCTGAGGCAGTGATCACATGACCATTGGCTGAGGAAAGGGGAGAGTAGGAAAGCTATTGTCGTGTGTCATTCAAGCAGAAAAATTTATGGTAGATGTCCTGTGTAAATTTGTGTAGCAAATTATGCTCGAGGACATAACCAATCTCAACCTGCTAGGCTTCCTATTTCGTAGGAAATAAAATCTTCATTGATTCTCATTTAGTATGGAAGACAAAGTATTTGGAAACCAAAGTAAGTTCACTCAAACCAGCACAGGCAATCCTCAGTGTTACAGTTCAAATTATTCTAGTTAGAAAATCATTAACAAAAGATGGAAGACCATTCTTGATTTAGCATAGTGCCTTGCCTAGAACATTGTGGAAATTATTTGTCAATGAAACAACAGTGAGTGACTGAAGAGACACAGGGAAAAAGAGGCTGTAGGTCTTCACTTAAAATAGAGAGGGACATGAGATACCTGGCATCCTGGAAAGTGACCAAAGTGGTCTGTGAAAGATTTAGCCTCTCCAGTGTCCTCATGTGCCTCTCCTCAAAGCTCCCTCCCACCTGTAGGTGACTGATGAGGCATGGGATGTTTAGAGGGGACCTCATAGTTCCTATAACCTTGGCCAGTGGCTCTCAAAGTGTAAGGCTTAGGACTTCTTTAAAATGCAGATTCAAACTAGACTAATATAGAACCTGCTATGTTGGAAATTCTAGAGGACCAATAGTATTGTTTTGTGTTTATGGGTCATGGTGGCTCTAGCAATCTGTTTCAGCAAGCCATCCAGTTGCCTGTGATATAGAGTCAAGTTTGAGAACCTCCATACAAGGAAAAAGGAACATTAAGAACCTACAAGAGGGAGGGACCCAAGTGCCTACCTCTCACTAATAGCAGGTGCAAATGTAATGAGGAGTCTGGTGAACTTAAGACCAAAGGAATGTGAGAGAAATATATAGAAGATAAGATTCAGGGCAAGCTCAAAATTGGTTACTGCAACATTTCTTACAAGCCCAGAGGGCAAACTGTGTATGCTGTACCCTGAATTACCCATCAAAATTTCCCCTTCCCTTATTCCTAATTGGATTCACTGTCCAAATTGCAGAGGTTTGCTTTGATTTTTTCCCCAGAAGTTCCAAACAGCAACTTTGAAAGCAATGGGGTGCTTGGCAGCTGTTCTATGTTTTCCAGGATCCCAACTGAGCATTGAAACCCCTCATTTGCCAACTTATTTTTATAGGAAGCCAATTTAAAAAAAAATGAAAGTTTTCTTATAGTATTGGAACTACTTCTAATTTTAAAACAACTTTTTTGATGTATTTTTTTGTTAAATACTATGTAGTGTAATGTATAATTGCTCTTGTTTATTGCTTTTACAATCATATTTATTAAACAGATAATGTCTCTAAAGTCTTGGCCTCAATGTGTTTATTTACTATCAAAACATGGTCTAGAATTTTTGTATAAAAATTCAATACAAGACTTCGTAAATGCTAGTTGTGTGAGAACACCTTTATCTCTGAATGCTTGAGTTTTTCTCTCAGAATGTGTTCTATTCCCTGAATTCTATTAGTATACCAGTTGACTGTAAAATACATGTCACTTTATACAAGTACAATGTTGCATTTGAAGATAGCTCCAAAATGATTACTTTGGAATAAGCAATATGTTTATTGCTATTATTTCAAATTTTCATCCATGAATAAGGAACAAAATTATTAAAACACTTTGTAGTTACCAAAGGACAGAACGTGGATGCAATGAGATGAAACTTAGGTCATGGTAAGGGCTTCTGGGGCAGGACAGAAAGAGCTTTGCATTTAGAACTGGCAAAGGGGCTTCTGCATCTGGCTGTGCAGTTATGAGATCTTGAGCAAATTGTTTTACCCTACACAGGATACAGTGTCTTCCTGCATGCAACAAGGCTGAAGATGACCCCTTATAGATTTGGCATTCTCTGTGGGGAAGTCATTCCCAGAAGAGCTAGATCAGTGGTTTGCAATTAGTGGAAGATAAAAATGTGAACTAGATCCAAATCTTTTCAGTCACGTGACTTTTTTACATACTGGAAATCTCATTGGATACATGTTGTTCCTCATATGCGGTCTACAAACACTAAACTATCCTCTGCCTTCCCAACGGTCTACTGGAATTGCAATGTTGCTGCTGATTAGCCCAGTTTTGGAATGATAATGAGAACCCTGACTATTTATAGCCTCCCTTTAACCTCACAAACTAAGTACTATGAACCTTCGTTCTTTTTCAGGCCAGAAAGTAGGCTGTTGTGTCTTCTTAGGGTGGACAAGCTCTTGTGTCAGTCAGAGGGGAGCCAAAAGAACAGAATATGCACCTAGGTAATTCATGAAGAGGTGCTTAAACACGGGATTTGTTGCTTAAATAACTGAATAGCCAACTTGCCAACAAAGAGCACTTAAGCTTCAAGAGAAAGTCTATAATTTTGCAAAGCTGGGGCACATGGTTATTGCCGGAGTACTTTGGCCAAGACAACTAGATTGAATCTGAAGACACAGCACCTATTTCTGGCTGGAGCTCAAGCCATGGAGGGTGCGCCACTAAGGCCAGTAATGCTTCCCAGGCAAAGAACAATGAAAGAGATGTCCCTTTTCTTTACTCTTGCCCATGTGGGCATTAGAGCCTATGAGGCATCATTTAATGAGGCAGAGACTAGAATAGGGAGTGCATAAGGTGAGTTTGAAAGCACAAAGCAGGAAGTGGTAAGTGGAACAACACCTCTGCCAAGTTCAGCAGAAATCAAATGGACAGAGGTCCCCTGGCTCACACACAGATGAAATGGACATGCCTTCTTTGCCTTGTTTGTCATGCTCACATATGTAGATGGTTGACATTGTGTTTACATGAATGTGGCCTGTTATACTTTTCTTTGAAATCCATGCTCATTTATGCAAGGATCTATACTTTAGCTTATTCTTTACATTCCTTCAGGATCTAGCACTGGACATTGCCATTAGAGGGCACTAGATAAATGTTTGATGAAACTCAACCCTTGAATTTTAGCTTAGCATCGTCAGTAAATCCATTTTATTTAGCTCTGCTCTCTGAGGTGGCTTCACAGGGCAAGCCTAACCTATTCAGCACCTCTAATTACATGCTGTTTGTCAAGAGTCAGCACCTCCCTGCCCTTCTTTGCTAGTACTCAAACTGCTGTGTTCAACAAGCTATTCTTAGATCTTAATTTAAGTAAAATAATTGCTGTTTAGAAAAAAGGAAGGAAAATACTAGCTAGAAAGTGGAATGAAAATCAAAGCTCTAAATTTGGTTTCAGACTCATCAATAGAATGGGTCTTTGAAACATTTATATTTGGAACTGGCAATGTAACTTCAGAGGGTAGAGATGTTTGTGCATAGGGTGGCAGTGACCTGAATGAAATCCAGATGCCACCAGGTGGCAGAAGTGAACTGATTCCCAAGAGTGGTCTTTTTCACCTCTACACATTCACCCGTGTATGCATGCACTTACACACACACACACACACACACACACACACACACACACACTTAATTAAAAAGTGAATATTTAAGAAAAATGCAGGTTTGGATGTTGCTTTCATTATAACAGAATA